AATGGTAACGAGAGATTGGCAGGGTGGTTCCAACGAGAGGTTTACGTCAAAGTGATTCACCTTAACCATATTTATTTATAATCTGTGCAGAGGGATTAATAGCATTGATTAAGGGTGTGAAAAGGTGTAGGTTGCTTCATGAGATTAAGGTTTGAAGAGGTGCTTCAATGGTCTTCCATTTGCATTTTGTAGATGAAATTATTTTAATTTTTTTATCTGGTGATTAGGAATTATGTTCTTAATTTGTGGTTAAAAACACCGCCAGAGTTAGGAGGTTCTGGGATCTAAACTTTTGAAAAATTATTAATATGGTTCACCAATTTTTATTTTTTTATTTTTTCGTTGATTTTTATTTATTTTATACAATTCTAATTTGCTTCTATATCAATATTTCATTTTGCCTCCCAAATTATTTTTTCTAACTTCTCCACTTATTAAGAGTCTATATAACTCTATTATTAGATCACATTACCAAGAGTCTCTTCTTGTTTTAGTATGGAACGTTACATGGAAGGTGGTTTCGCACAAATGTTAATTATCAATGTCATAATTGTATAATTTATACGTGTTTCATTAGGCGTAACCCCCCTAAACCCCTCTAACTATTTGTTTTTTAGACCATTAGCCTTTTAATATGCACTTAGTGTGTTTTAGTCCATAGAATTCACATTATTGTTATAATTGGTCTAAAATAAGTAGAATCTCATCACATCATGAGTTACGTGACCATCTCTACTCCATTACTTTATCTTCATTAGCACCATGCTTGCATAAATATGGTCAAAGTGGAAGCAAGCAAAATCCCGTCTATGATGAGAATGACCCATTTGTGCTTTGGGCAGGATTTTTCCACCTCCATGGGTCCAAGTGGACCATATTGATGGCAAGGATAATGATTAGTATACTGTAGATGGAACGCCTTCACCTCTAGAGATGAAGCTACTGGCTTCCTCAAGGAGATGATTGAATCTCACCCTTGGTACAGAGCCATCTGCATTAGAGACCTACCAATTGGGTCAATCTATGTGATGCCGGGAGTCGGGAAGGATCATCGGAGGGGAGAGATTGGCTATGCTTTGAATGCGAAGTACTGGGGAAAGGGAATAGCAACAGAGGCAGTGAAGATGGCGGTGTCATGTGCATTCAAGGAGTTGAAGTGTCTGAGCAGAGTGGAGGGTTTGGTTTTTGCAGAGAATAGGGCTTCACAAAGGGTGCTGGAGAAAGCTGGGTTTGTTAAGGAAGGTCTTCTAAGGAAATATTTCTGTGTGAAGGGAAAAAATATAGATATTATTGTCTACAGCATCATAGATGATGATGATAACGCAAGTTAGACAAATTAACTTTGTACTTAAGAGAAAATATTTCGAATCCATTTAAAATAATTAATCCAACGTTCTCGTAAGTACAGTTGATAAAATCTTTTTATGGTTATATCAAAAGACCTTGAATTTAAGGCTTTATTCACAACATAGAAGAGAATAGAAGAAAGGGAAGGGGAAAAAAAGTTAAAACAAATTCTGCTTTGTCTTTTAGTAGAACAAAAATTAGGTCATGTATGGTCACTTCTACTATCAGAAAATCTCTCTAGGAGAAACTTCTCGGCTTCAATCCAGTAATTCAAGTCGCTTCCAATCTCCCAAGAATTAACTATGAGCCTGGATTTGGCGAGTATCTCAAATCCATTAATCTCACATCTCTCTCTTAGAAGTATTTGACATATTTTCAGATCTCCTCAATCTTCTGTTTTTTTACTGTGTAATTTTATTTGTGATGCTTTTGAATCCATTTTGCTATTTCTCAATTTTACTTGATGTTTGAGTGGTTTATGTTTCCATTTCTTAATTTTGATTTTGATTTGTGTTTCAATGGTGAGATTGTTTTGATATTTGGGTGTTTTTGGGTGAAATATGTATTTGGGCCTGCTTTAAATGATTTTGTGTATTAACAGAGGAAGGAAGAGAAATAGCTTTTGTCATCATTTGGTAGCTATCCATATAAATTGTTTGTTTGCTTTATCATAATAGGTATTTTGCTTCCAAACCTACACATTTTACTGTGATGATGACCAGAATTTGAACATGTGTTCATTTATCCATGATGATTTCTCTTGGTATGAATTAACTGTGGTTGTTCTTGGTATGCAAATTTTGTTAAATCCTTGCTTTGTGTATTCTATGTTTGGAAGTGGTTAGGTTTTGGCTTTTGGAATGTGCTTTCTTTTTGTTTGATTTTTAATTATGTGAGAAAAAGTTTAATGAATTCTAGCTCACTAGTGGGTTTTCATTTATCCTTTGTGCAGAATATATGATGGAGTGGATTAAAATTTTACTGCTTCATTTTTTATTGGTTACTGAGAAAGTGAAGGAAAAGTGAAAAGAATTAGGATTTTCTAAATCTATCTCTTTTATTGTTTCTTGAGAGTGTTTAGTGATCAAAGCCATGGCCACGTTGGCAGAGAACCACCACCACCACCACCACTTCTTTGTGCAGAATATACGATGGAGTGAGTTAAAATTTTACTGCTTCATTTTTTATTGGTTATTGAGAAAGTGAAAGAAAAGTGAAAAGAGCTAGGATTTTCTAAATCTGTCCATTTTATTGTTTTTTGATAGTGTTTAGTGATCAAAACCATGGCCATGTTGGCATAGAACCACCACCACCACCACTTCTTTGTGCAGAATATACGATGGAGTGAGTTAAAATTTTACTGCTTCATTTTTTATTGGTTATTGAGAAAGTGAAGGAAAAGTGAAAAGAACTAGGATTTTCTAAATCTGTCCCTTTTATTGTTTCTTGAGAGTGTTTAGTGATCAAAGCCATGACCACAGCAGAGAAACACCACCACCACCACTTCTTTGGACATACAATGGAATTGGTTAAAATTTTACTGCTTCATTCTTTATTCATTACTAAGAAAGTAAAAAAAAGTGAAAAAAATTAAGATTTTTTAAATCTATCCCTTTTATTGTTTCTTGAGAGTGTTTAGTGATTAAAGCCATGGCCACGTTGGCAGAGAACCACCACCACCACCACCACCAACTGCTAGTCCATCTCCGAAGCAATTGCTAAAGTTTCTCCAATGATGGATTTTTATTTTTTATTTTTTGTATATTTTTATATTAACTATCTAATCATGTGGAACAAGAAAAAAAAATGTTAGGTGGTTTTTATTTTTTTCTTTTTGTCTAGGCTAGCGCCATATCATCGCCTGGTCATCCTTTGTTAACAGAGAGATAGACGAAGAGATAACGTTTTGCGTTGTCGTAAATAATAGAAGGGGAGATTTGTGGAGTTCAAGTACTAAAAGGGTCGATTTGCACTACTTTTAAGCGAAGCGGCTAACATGCGACAAGAAGTAGAGGGACCGAATTGCACCTTGTACTAAGAGCCAGGACATCTCATCAAACAACTTTTTCCCTATTATCAACATAGGGTATTGTGATATACATTCTGTTTTGATTTTCCGGACAAATATGCACACACATCTGTACACGACTGCGGCTAGTTTTTCTTTTTGTGCAGTGGCGATAATACATCCGATGAGCTTAAGTAACACAAGCTGACAAGCGATTACCTATAGGCCACAAGCTTTTCTCCTAGGCTTCTTGTTTCCTCTTCTTTTCTCTAAATTCAATACATCATTTCATGAAGGAAAAGAAACAGAAGGCTCCCTTATTCACAATTGAGGAAAAATGGGGATTTCAAGGTGTAGTATTTACAGAAATCTCGTGCATCAGAGGTGAGCTTGGTTGGTCCTGATGTGATGGGATAACAAGCCGTTGCAAGGGTTTTAATGCTACCGTAAGTTCAGCAAATGAAGGCCGCAAGTTTGGTTCACTGGGATAAAAATCAAAACAAAAAAGGGAATGAAATAAACTGGATTGCAGATAAAAAGGGGAAAAAAAAATCAATTAAACTTGATTTGATATTGTGATACAAAGTTTAGAGCCAAGATCATGTATTTTCACTTACGTTTGCCAACATTCCCAAATTATTCTTCCAACTAGGGGATCGACTTCCTTGGGGATGTCAAGGCGACGGTTCTGGAAACCAACTGCACCTACAACTTGCATTGGATTCATGCCACTCCAAGGCAATCTCAGAGTAGCGAGCTCCCAAAGAATGACACCAAAGCTGTAAACATCACATCTACACAAACATTTGAAAGATTTTGTAACCCACATTCGGAAACACAATAAAATATTTTACAGACTTGAATAACCAACAGTGATAACTCAGAATGAGAACCAAGCAATTAGACACTGGGATAACCATTGGTTGTTGAATAAGTTGTCTGCAATGCATTATTTGAAAATACTAGAAAGAAAGCATTTCAACAACTTACAGATCTATAAAGCAGTAATGGGCATTTTATAACCAAGCAAAAGAAAAATGATGAATAGTACTCATAGAACAGGAAAAGACAAACAGAGAGGCAATGAAATGGCAACACTCATGTATATTAAACCAAAAAAAAGGAACTCACTTTTCATTTGAGGGCTCATTGCGAAGAACTTCTGGTGCCATCCACTCAGGCTAATACCACAAAGACAACTCACAATCAGAGACATCTTGGAAGGGCATAAACTAAGGCTTACATACTCCATAATATATCTTTATCTTCAGAAATTATAAAAGAATATATCAAACAATATGCCAGGATACTCACTGTCCCAGCAGTTGATTTTGATGAGAGGAACGTGTTATGCTTCAAGCGTGACAACCCAAAATCACAAACCTGCACGGTTTGTTCAACAAGGATGTTGTTGGTCAGGAGATAAACTCAATCAAACAAGAAATGAATATGGGCATTGCTATGTCAATTCAACTGTTCACACTCTTAGAAGCTCAACCAAGCTATAAGATGAAAAGACTGCAATACAAAGACTTCATATGACTCACCAACTTTCTAAATTTGCAAATGTTCAGCATACTTTCTAAATTTATAAATGTTCTGCGGGTCTTATGACTGAAATTAATATGTGAAATGCATGACAGTCCATGCTTCAAGCAACAACTCACATAACAATTTAATAAACATAAGAACAAGAACAACATCAACAATATGCTGGAAAAATTAAAGTTTCCAGTGATTGGAGACAAACCAATGAATCCACAAGGTGGAATAAGTAGATCACAATTCATGTAATAGTGTCAGAATTTCTATACAAATTAATGAGGAAAATAAGAAAAAACAGACATGAATCCCTGTGACTCAAAACTGTACCAGTTAACAATCAAGTGAATTCCACTTGATCATCACAATATCATCATCAGTTTCATCAACTGTTATTAATGGGCAATTATCAACACTGGGGAGACAGATAGAAAGATAGATAGATACCTTGACATTCCAGTTTTTATCGACCAAAAGATTTGGTGATTTCAAATCCCTGTGAACAATTGTGGGCATGCTGGTGTGCAGACAATTCATACCCCTCGCCTACAAATGAAGCAATATTTGAAGTTCGATGAAGTTTTCAAATGCTAGTTAAAAAATAGAATTGATAACTAATTTCATACCACATCAAGAGCCATTTTTATCCTACGCTTCTCTTCAATTTGACAATTAGGACGATGGACAATCTTATATAAACTTCCCCTGGAAAAGCAAACATTAGTTACAAATTAGATATAGATGCAGAATACCACAAATTATGTTGGATCTCTATATTGCTTTACAAAAAGATTCATCTCATCAATACATTTGATAAAAAAATAATAATAATAATAATAAAAAGGAACAGCCTCATACCTTGGAAGAAATTCTGTGATGATGGAGAGGTTTGGAGGACGAGTAACAGCACCCATAAAAAGAACAACATTTGGATGACGCAGTCTACGCATTATCCGCACCTTAAATTAAAGAAGAAAACAAAGATTCAAGTTTAATCAGTTGGCCTGGTTTAAAAGTCATGACTCATGAGTCAGACACTGATGCTCTTCCTGACCTTGTATATGTCCAGTATTCCATGTGAAAGACCATAGAAAATCTATAACATCTATCTAAGTTATGCAACTTACTATCATTTTGGGCAAAAAAATAAAGATGTATAATTTTCACTCACTTCTCTCTTGAATTCAGCCAAGGCAGCACCTGAGAAATCCTGGTCCAGGAACTTCTTAACAGCAACCTCCTGTGGTTCAACAATCAACCATTACCAGGCAAAAATTAGAAATTCCATTTTCTCAATACAAACAGGAGAAGAGCAACCATCACAGTATAATTAGATTCACTAGGGAGAAGAGTCAGCTACAAAAATGCATAAAAATTAACTTAAAATGTTCCCAAAAAAAAAGAAAAAAAGAAAAAAAGAAAAACATCTCCGAGAATTTAATTTATACATTTTCTCCTATGAGCAAAACAGTACCATAAGAGCACTGAAACAGTGAAACATGAACTCTGGTCAACAATCAAAATTCTAGCCAGGAACTAATTTAGGGATTGCAATACCAATACCAGAAATAACCAAAATGAGTTGATCCTACCATGTTTTGGGTTGATATAAACTTATTCATGTTAATCCATCGAAATCAGGTTAACTTCTTTAACATTATTAATAAACCCACTGACAAAATTAATCCAATATTTACATGAGTTGGTAGATAAACTGTGTATTGCTAAACATCTCCCCTCACCCCCACCCCCCTCACCTCACCTTTGGAGAGGTATTGACCGGTTCATACAAACAAGAAACAACTCTTTTGCAACCCTATTTAATAAGTTAAGTAAAATACCAGTTTTAATTAATTTAAATTTTAAAAATGATGTTAATTTCAAGTAAAAAACAGAGCTAATAACAATAAAAAAAAAAAAGAGGAGAAAGAAAGAAAGAAAAGAAAAGAAAAGAAAAAGATGGTATTAACAATTATGGTTGATTTATTAAACAGTCTATATTACCATCTTAACCATCAGAATATTGTTCATCTAAAAGGTTCAATAGTGACTGTTTAAACAACATGTTTAAAGTAATTAGCATATAAGACACCAACGACCAGCCAACATCTTAAAGCAACTCTTGATCAATTTTGAAAAGAGAACATTTTGAAGAGCCACATTTTAAGCTCTCTAACTCAAAGTAAAATGACAAAATCTAAAGTAAAGCTCAAAAATAGAAAAGTGATAAATTTTAGAAAGTTTAAAGTAAAGAGGGCATCCAGAACTAACCGTGCCATTCCAATCAGCATGGTACACCTCTCCATATGAACCTGTTCATAAGAAAACAAAATTTCAGAAAGATATATAACTCCCAAGGTAGTGAAAGTTTATTGAGACACAAACCATGATTTCTCAAAAGAACTCTACACCATAAAAGAAATAATGTAGATAAGACTAGAAAAACTGAAACTTGGTTGATTGAGTAAAATCCTTCCGTGCAAAATTAAATTTAAACCATGATTGCAGAACCTGATAAAGAGCAGATAGCCCTTATGCCTTACCCAGTCCAATTCTTTCACCAATAACCAAGTCTTCCCATGCAATTTCGCAATCACCCACATCTACATCATCAAAGAGTTGATCAACCCTGCGGACTGTGGAATCAACTACTGAGCTAGGATTTTCAGGATCCTTCAGTTTCAGATTATTCCCCATAAATCTTTCATGTGCAGACTTTCTAGGATCATGTAAACCAACTTCATTACTCTCCTGCTCTTTAACAATATCCACTGTGTTATTTTGCACAACCTGTACTTTCTTGGACTTGTCTTCCTTAAAATTAGTGCTCAAGTCTTGAACCATTGGTTGGTTATTGAACTGACCGGTAGTAGATTTCAATGATGGCCCAGTGCCAGACAAATGGTTCCTAGTTTTATCATCATTATTGGGTAGATTGGAATCACCAGATGAATTGAAACCATGAGGATAGACCTTTTCAGATTTTGTAGAGCTGGTGGAAGCTGATGCTGATTGATGAAACTCGTTGGGCTCACGATTGATTTTTGGAAATAGACCATCTACATAATTATACTCCTTTTTCTTAGGGACCTCATTGTAAGCTGGTCGATTCTTCCGTGATGAGACAGGGGGGCGTCCAATGACAACATTATTTTTCTGTCTCTGAAGCTCATCAATTTTGATCTCTGTAGATTTGTTTGGCAGGTAAGTTTTACCTGTCCCTTTAATCTGGAAAGGATTAAGATCTGCAAAAAGGTTTTTAGAGTCATCTTTACCACTCTGACCATATGGAACTGCATTGAGGTTCATCCTTGCACCATCACCAACATTGGTTCCACGACTCCCTTTATAAAGTGAAGCGCAAATGGCAGTTGAAGGAAGATGATCCAATTGATTCGGGGACATTTTGTGAGATATTATGGGAGTGCCAGCACCAGAGTCACCCCTTGGACCTGATAATGAAGATGAGGATTCTGCCTTTTCTAAACTTGACCTGCTATCCAAAGGAAAACTGCCATTTATTGCTGAACTTTGGCTACTGCCTTCACCATTTAATGGCTTGGCTCTTGGGTGAACAGCTCCATGATCATCAGAGGACCGAATGGTCGGGATTTTGCTTAGTAATGGACTACATGACTTCAAAGCAGTATCCTTTACACTTGAAATATCAACAGGTATAAGTGTCCCAGGAGCTGCCATGAGATCAACCAAAAACTCCCTGAACGAAATGAAACAAAATATTAGAACTGAAGAGGCCAGAGATTAATTTAAGAAATAAGGGCAAACTACTACCTTTCATCCTCCAGCTTTATTATGTTTACAGCATCATCCTCAACACCAGTGTAATGACTGCCTTTTACCAGTCTACAAGGTAACTTTATACCATCAGCCAATACCTACATTTAAGGACACAGAAAATAAATATGCAGCTTCTGATAAATAGAAAGCTTAGAGACAATTTGGTTCCATATTTATTAGCTCAGGGCAGAGGCATGAAATTTTATTATTTTCCATAACTCAATACCAAAATAAAGCCTTTAATAGCATCATTAGAAATGTAAGAGATTTAAAGCATTAAAGAAAGAAATTTGATTTTAACATCCAATATCAGAAGAAAAACAAACCAAGTCTTTCACATTTTGCTGTCCAATGTACTACATCCCAACAATCAAGACAATCAATTCAATAGAAAGTTCACATCATGAGGTTTTTGAATGACAAGTGCAGGGCCAGTTACAGAAAGAGCATCACTTAATTCTGACAAAAATAGATCTCAGGATATTTCAACCTTTCATTTCTATCATTTCTAGCTCCAAAACCTAAATGAAAAAAAAATTTCTGTGATAATACTAAAAATATGCTCTGAAGTTCCACCACCAAAGTTGGTAGCAGATCCTCATGATAGTTAAATGATTAAATTTTACACAAAAAAATACAAAAAGTAAACAGAGACAATCTTTTCTTTAAGCATGCAAGATAAGTGGCGGAAGAAGTTTTGCTCAGTTGGTGCACTAGAGAAAACAAAACAGGAGTTTGTTTGAGTCTTTCACTTTTCGAGTACATGACCTCACATTTTTAACAAGAGGTGAAGAAAGTGTAAATAAATTACAGTTAGAGGGAAATATATTAAAGTTACATAGAGTCTGCCAATGGAGAATAGAGCCACAAGTTGCAGTTTAATAACTAACCTTGAAAAGTAGAGCACGATGCCGAGACAGACCTATATTTATGGACCCAATAGGCAACAAACTTGAATTAATAGATGTTCTCAGTTCAGTGCTCTTTTCCATCCACCTTGCCAATATTATATTAGCATCCTTAACAGGTCCACCCATATGGGCAGTAACAAGTTCAGCAAGCCTTTGGACTAAAACACTAACATTCGTAGCTGGGCAATCTAATGCAATACAATGTGCAACTTGCACCAACTCTTCTAAGGCAGGGTCAATTGTTCCATTGACAATTATAACTTCAAATCCATAATTTCCAAGATTTGTCTCAAGATCTGCAAGAGACGGCATTTTTCCTTGGATTGCTGAACCTGTGGAGGGCCCGTACACATCATAGAACCCATCCACCACTTTCTCTTCATAATCAAGAACATTGTATTCCTGGTGCATCAGAACACGCAACTCAAGTCAATCCAAATAGAATAACTACAAAACAGTGCTGCATAGCAATGCATGTAAATAAACTACAGTCAAGCATTAATATGGAGTGAACAGTAAAAGAAACCTTCAAACCTCAATATAGCTGAGAGAAACTCCAGAGTGGAGAATATTTTCAAAACAGACCTAAAACAACTGATATTTGATTGCATTCTCAGTCAGAATAAAATTCCTTATATGGTAAATTGTTTTGTTGGACTCGTTTCAGAGAAGACTGCTTCTTCAGTCAATCTTACCTTTCTTTCCTTCCGTTTTTTTATTTTTTCTTTTTTTCCATTTCAGTCATTCCTATCATTTACCATAACTTAACCACATCGACCAAATTTGGACCATAATAACAGACTTTAAACAAAATGCAGAAAATTGAGCACCTAAATCATACCTCTATCACACAATCAACCATGTAGGAGATTGAAGAATGCCTCAGAAAAGTAGAAGACTAAAGAACAGTACATAGAGCTACTCTATACCTTAATTACCCCAAATTAACCTAGCTTCAAGATTTCAATAAAAGTAGCCCAATTCCACCTCATCCACTACAACTTAGCATGCAAGACTGAAATAGTTCAGATTATCATTCTTTTCCTAACTATAAATTATGCAAGTTCCAAATCATATATGATGAAATTTCAATGGCCAGCAATTATCTAAGACCAGATGCATAATATGTTGAAGTGTTTAAGAACCAAAACCAAACATTAACTACCTAAAGACAATTAATAATATCATTAATTCATGCTCATGGCCTAATGCACTACAATTTCATAACATGAAAGACTATGATGCTTCAATTCATCATTTTTACCTAATTTGATAGAAAATTGCATTAATATAACAATCCTAACCCAAATAATAGCAACTGCAATCACTAATCAGCAATCAAATCATAGTTCAAGCTCATTCACTACTATTAACTCCAATTAAAATGACTGATTATTTCATGCTTCAAAAGTAAACCAAGCAACTTTCAAAAGCTTAATTGCCCACATTCCAAATTGGATCAAAGCCAGATATCAGAAGAGCTAGGATTAACTAACATAACCTCAGTAAACACTCCTTTAATCAGAGGTCTTTGCTCCAACTCATCCTTGATCCATTAGTTTCATCCACAGAAAGCACGATGCTAGAATTCCCTAGCTTACCTTTTTCTTCATCAAAAACACTCCAAATTGGCCAAATTTTACCTAATTCAATAGTAACTTTCCTAATGACCAGTCATTAATAGTCGTTCATAGGCACAGGTTAAAAGCCCCTAATTTAAACTCATACGCATCAACCCACCACCATACCACCATCAACACTTCGAAGCCCACTAATTGAATTCATCAGAATCCAATTCGATCTCAACATAGAAATGGAGAAGTTAAAGATCACTCACCCAATATTGTCTTGACAAATCCTCGGCTGTCACCTCCTCCTTATCCCTTCCAGTATCCATCTGATGATGCCCTCCCAAGCTCAACAACGTCGCCGCGCGGATCTGATCCTTCTCGGGATCCTCCGAATTCGACGCGCTGATCGCTAGAGCCAGTTGAACCTGAAACTCCTCCTCCGAAAACATGTAATCCTCACTATTATTATTATTATTATTATTTGCCGACCCAGTTGGCGGCGTAGCACTCACGTTGCCGGCCGGAACAGTAGCCGGAGCTGGCGAGGGCGTTGAGGGACTAGTCGGAGAGTTTCCAGACGTCGTACGTTGATGATCGGTGGCGAATGACGGAGACGACGGCGCCTCGTTGGTACGATTAGGATCGTGGTTATGGCCTTTGTGTAGCTTCTTGAAAATGTTCTTCATTTTCTACCTCCTCCTCCTTCTTCTTCTTCTTCTTCTTCTTCCTCAATCCACCGTGACCTGCTTTCTCTTATTATCTCCGAAAATTTTCTGCAAATTTTGCCTCTGAAATTTCCCTCACTTTCTGTCTTTTACTTTTTCTCTGACTTTCTTCTCTCTTTCCGCCGTGGAATTTGAGGGGTCAATCGAAGGAAGGTGTCAGGAGGGAAAACTTAATGCAGTGGTATATCGTATTGTATCTAATAATAATAATAATGTATGTTTGCCGGTTATTAAGAGGGCTCAAAACCTTCTTAAATTTACGAATCTGACTGACATCAGTCGTTACACGCGTTTTCGGCTGACATTTCCTAGCCAATGACGTCGGGACACGTTGGCTTCGTGGTCTACCCGGATGTGAACCTTCTCTTGGAAGTGGTAAGGGCT